TAGAGAGGGAGAGAGAGGGAGAGAGTGATCACCTGAGTGCTGCATGTCAGCAGTAGTGAGGGAGCTTCCTGCCTCGCTGTCAGGATTTAGGAGAAGGCTGCTGGATGAGTGTATAAAAAAAAAAAAAACCAGGAGCAGTTTGTGGCACAAGTGTCCCCCAAGTCTGTGTAGGATTTTCCACTTGAGAGGGAGACAGAGGACGTTTTTACTTTGTTGTTGCTTTGCTAAGGGACACAGCAGAGCAGAGCAGAGAGAGGAGGAGTGAAGTTAAAGGAGCAAAGGAATGAGAGGGTGAGAAAAAGCATGCTGCAGAAGTGGGCTACTCCTGCTACGCTGGTAAGTAGACTTCACAGGAGTGTATTTGGGGCGATGGAGAGTCATTATTTGTTCATGTGAGTCTCAAATGCTTGTATATCATGTTTATGTTCTTTCTGCATCTGCCCTAGTTTTTTCTCATAATAGTACTAGCTTGTCTTTCTTCTTCCCCTGCTGTCCTGGAGCACTTCTCGTCTCTTGTTCTCTTCTCCTCTCTTCAGTCTGMCCCACTCTCACCCCCACCCCCTCCAGCCTCCCTCATCCTCAGGGGCTGTTGAGGGGGTGAGAAAGTGCAAGTCATGCAACACTGCCCAGGAGTTTGTTTTCTGAAAAATACTCACTCTTTTTTATTTATTTTTTCTCTCACACAGTCATTTGTCTATCTCCAGAACTCCCTCTCTCTCTCTCTCTGCTTTCCTCAACCTCTCCATCTTTCACCCCCACTCCCAGCTCCACTAACTCATCTTTCAGTATCTGATTATATTTGTGCACGTGTTTTCTTTTCTTTTTTTTTTTTTTTTGAGTGAGTGAGTTAAGCAGCGTCAGCCCCTGTCAGTGTTCACATATGCAAAGACTCGCATGCAAACACACACCTACACTAAGTCCCATGTCGACAAAAAAAAAAAAAGGAGGCACAGATGAAGAAATAGAGAAGTGGAGAGAGAGAAGTGTGGGCCTGCAGCAACACTGTACTTTCCAGTCGAACTATATTTAGCAGTGAGATAGCACGTCACGTTGAACTTATCCTTTTGATAGTGATTATGAATATGGCGGGGCACACGCACATGCACATTTGTAGCCCATTTTGAATCATGTTTACAGTATTTGTAGCTTAAAATAGTTGCTTGTTGGTTACTAAAACTGAACATGCTGCTGCTATTTCACATCTAGTGTATCACACACTGACATCATATATAGACTATATAAATA